GGCATTCATTTTTAAGTACGCTTCACTATGTTGAGAAAGTTCATTTCCCTATATTCCTAGTTTGCTCAGAATTTTTTATAACAATAAATATAATTTCTCACTTATTTTGATATGAACATATAATTTTATCTCTGACTATATTACTATGTTAAACTACAGTAATAAATTTTCTAATGTGAAACTATCTTTCCATTCCCAGGATAAGCCTAACAGGACATGATAATTTTTAATACATTATTGGTTGTTGCTATTTATTGTAGTATTTCAAATATATGTCTGTAAGTGAAATCAAGCTGCTATGATTCAACTTCACACAATTCTCATAAAATGATTTAAGAAGAGTTCCATTTTTTTTCCGTTCTTTGAAACAAGTTACATAAGGTACAAATGATCTGTTCCATATAATTATGAAAGAATTCACCTATCACAGGTCTGAGCCTGATGGATGTGAAGATGTGTGCGTGGCGACATTTGGCTCTAATTCAATGTCTTTAATGGTTATACATCTATTTAGATTTTCTATACCTACTCAAGTCAATGTTGGTAATTTATATTTTGTAAGAAATTACTCGTTTTGTCTTTTTTCAAATTAATTGTAATAATCTATTAATATTACTATATTTAAAACATCTGTCCTCGTGGTAACTATGGCTTCTTTTTACCTTAATATTAGCTTATCTGTGCCTTCTTTATTTTTTACTTGCTCAGTCATAGCAGGGTTTGTCAAGACTGACAAAGAACAGCTTTTGGTTTTGTTCATCTTCTCTATTGCTTGTTTCTCTTTTTACACGTTCTCTATAAAATATCAATTCAAAAGACTATATAATAGTATAGTTAGGTATTTTAAGAAATAATAAAATGAAAACTAGAGTACTTGCTTCAAGTTTAAGAAATAAGACATTACTGTTGTTTTTAAACCCCTATAAACCTTTACCCAGTTGTATTTCCTTCCATCCCTCAAGCCCCAAAACTTGGAACTTGGCAACAATTAAAGGATGATTTTTGAGTTAATCATTTTTTCCCTGCCTCTGCTTATTTTATCCCATGTATGTGTGTTTATACATATATAAATATACACGCCCCCCCCCAAGAAGATACAGGTTTATTTTGCCAATTTTTGGCTTTTAAATATATGCAGTCATATGCTAATTGTATGTCACTTGATTTCTTCGTTCACATTAAGTTTGTAAAATTTACCCATTCTGAGTAGATAGCAATGTTTATTTTCATTGTTGTATAGTACATCATTAGAAAGAATGTACAATTAATTCATTAAAATAATTTTCGATAAGGGTAATATTAAAATATAGATTTCAGTTATGTCATGTTTCTTGAAGCTAAAAGTAATCTGATACTATACTTATGAGGATTGGATATGTTACTGAAAATAAAGTAAAAAATGTAAAAGCACCATTAAATTACCAAGAATGAACTAATAACCTTTAAAGGTTATTTTTAAAATAACTTTTATATAGAAGAGTGCTCAATAAAAACTGCAAAATACTAAAAGACCTTTTGAAAAACTGATGAATTATGGATTGATTATTTGAGTTGTAAAAATATAAAAATATATATATCTTTTAATAAAGAACTCTCCAGGGCAACTTTAAGAATCTGATTTGCAAAACCTAGAGTTGCAAGCAACTTTAAATTAAAATGTAACAAATTAAGTTTTTAAAAATGATAATATAAAGTGCTGTCTACTGTAGTCTGGAAAAATTAATTGTTTTGTTTCATTTTACAGTACTATCCAAATTTTATAGTTGTATGTAAGTTTATCATACAAATCAATAAATCCTGATAGAAAAATCTAATGCTAAAAGAATGAAAATAAACAGGTTATTTGAGATTATTTCACTTTTGTACATTGTTCAGCTTTACAGGGAATACACAAAGTAGGTTTTCTAAAATGACACCTTTTTTCGGTAAAGAAAAAAAGAAGCTAGGTAACTGAAATTTACGGAATGTCTGAAAAATAAAGATCTTTTGACAGCATAAAAGTTACAGAATTTTAAATTCATCATTTTTCTTATGCAAAATAGAAATATTGCCTTCTGCAAAGTAGAAATATTGCCTTTCAAATTCTTATCACCTCAAAGGTAAACTGTAAGATTCGCCTCTCTGTAGTCTAAGTGCTTAGATGATTCTACTAAATATCCTTCTATCCAAACTCTTTATAAGATGGGATTCTAGTTAAATGGAAGATTCAGTTAACCACAAGTCCCCTCAGGTACCATATATGGAATACTAACTGTTGAGGAGATTACAACAGGCCTCAAAAATGTGCATGGGCTTACATATATTAAGTGATTCAGAAGGTGCTTCAGGATCTAGCTATATTTCAATATGAACATCAACAACCTCTTTTTTAAAAGGCAACTGATAATGCATTGATATAAATATACAGTAAAATTTTGACCTCCTTAAGATCACAGTTTTAATATAAACTAGTTCTCATTTACTTCCTTTATTTGCCTTATACTTTTTTTTTTTCACTAATGCCAAGGATAATAGAAATTATTGTACTTGTTTTTATTTCAAAAGGATGAGTATGTCAAATTTTATCAAAAAAAAGTCTTTCTGGTAAAGAAGTCACATTATTCTTATTAATTAATGCCATAAAATCTGAAAAGGTAGAATGCTCGATTGTCAATATAGGCTACAGGTAGAATTAATATAATCCAAGGAGAAAGTATGTTAATGCTGTAAAGGAAAACATTGTTTTAATTCCTTTTGAAGGAGAGTCTTTTTAGCAAAATGATAGGTTAACTGTGGTCCAAGTACATACTATTTATAATATATAATAGATAACAATTCCCAAAGTGGATTTGATAAGGTGAACAATATTAAATACCTATCTTAAAGTATCTCATTATTTGTAACTGGGCAGAAGACATCTGAGTAACTAAGTTAACGCAAACCAGTTTTCACTATCCCTAAAAATTTTTGTTACATTAAGAGGAGCTTCCCTCTGTTCCTTTTTCCCTTCTTTTCTTTGTATGTGAGTGTGGCAAGGATCATTAGTAATTGTATTTGACCATAGCAGTTTAGAATGTTGAGGACAGAGAGGTGGCAAAGGCATGCAGATGCTGGAGGAGAAAAGTACAGATGGAAATACCTCAACCCATGAAACAGCTGAGTGGAAAAGCTAACATGCTGAGTCTCAGTTTTATGTTACAGACTTGCTTTGAAGAGCTCTCACTTCAAACACGGACTTGTTTTCCAGAAATCCATTAAGGTGTGTATAAACGAAACTGTGTTTCTAAAGTGTCATGCCATTAACATTACGCTGAAAAGTTGGTAGTTGTGAGTCAAAGGAAATACAGACATAGGGTGGTCAGTAGAGGTATTAATATACCCATCTGGACACAAATTGAAGGTGTAAACTGAGGATTGTGGATGAAAGAAATTATTCTATATGCACTCTCCATATTCAAATTTCCAGATATAGCATTTAATCTAAACTTTAGAAAATTTTTTAAAAAAAATCCTAAATGAGTATCGTATACTACAGCTGATGCTATCTCTTGATTTACACACACCTTCTTGCCTTGCCACACCCCAACATCTTCTGTCCTTGGGACAGCTCCTCGAATGTCACACCCTACCCTCCAGCAAATATGGGAAATCTTGGTAACACAAAACCTTTGCAGTCTCTTCTCCCCATTCTTCGATCTCTTTCTCAGAGAGAACACAGAACACTAAATTCATGCTTTTAAACATAACTGGAAATGCTTTCAAATACATCACAAAAGAATATACCTTGAGAGCAGTTTCTATTCGTAAAGAGGCATTTCATCAACTCAGAAATTTTGTTGGGACAGTTGTCTGGGAGGTCGACGCGCTCGTTTGTACAATTCCTCGTCCATAAATATATCTTAGATCATACTTATCAATCCAATATTCATAATTCCTTGATTCAGAAAGGACAAAACTAGGACCTATCCTTCCTCATGAGAGTCAGAGGAATAGCATCCGCGTAGCCAGAGTCGACCTCCGAGTCAGGAGCGTCTTCTGGCCACCAAATCCCACGCCCATCCTTGGATCTAGGGAAGTCGCGAGTCCACAGCTCCTTTTCATTACACATCCCGAGTGCAACCCTGGTCTCATTTGAAGATCCGCGCATAATCACGCCATCAGAGTTCCTGATTTTTCGCTTTCTGACTCCTGAATTTTCGGCGAACTGTCCCTAACTTCCTCTCCCGTCCTCGGTCGCGCGTTTCCCCGGGTACAGGAGACTCCAGGCTGAGCTCTGGTCTTGCTCAGTCTTCCGTGGAACCAAAGTAAGACCTAACCGCACGCCTATCCGAGCACCCCACGCACCCTGACCCTATCCCTTCTGCCCCAACCCAACAATACCCTCACACCACCGACCCCAAACCCAGCCCTTATCCAGCCTCCGCCCCCCTCGAGCCCCTGGTGGCTCGCATGGGTGGACAGTATGAGTGAACTGTTAAATAACCTTTAGGGGAAGCAAAACCTACAAGCCGTTCTTCAGCGGTAACTCCACGCCGAAACCAAGAAGCACCGCTCCAACCCCTCCACGCACTAACGTCCCCATCCCAGGTGACCCTGGCGGGGTGGCGTCTTGGACCGCATTTCACGTCTGTGTTTTGCTTATTCAGGGATCCTGAAAAACCTGGCCGAATACTCTTCCTCCTCCTCCATCCAAACGAGCCCCAACCACCATCACCAGCCCCAAGTGCCAGGGGAGGAGTGCAGACCCCAGCCCACAGGCGACCGCTGGCCAGGGCGCAGCGAAGCCAGAGTGCGGCCCGTAATTCAGTCACTAAAACGCGCCGTCTCAAACAAAAAGCTCAGTCCCGAGTCGTCCTTCGAAGTTGGTTTTCTATCCTGACCGTTCCGGGTCCGAATTTGGGGTCGTTCCTGCCCCGCAGGATTAAGCTGAGTCGCGGACACCGTCCGCTTTGCAGCTCCCCCCCTCCCCCCGCGGGAACCCACCCCCTTCTTCATCCCGGCTCCCGGTAGCTCCCACTCACCATAAGGGTCAGCAGCAGGCTGCAGAGTGCTCCACGCAGGGAGCTCCGGGGCCCTGCGGCGTCCATGTGGGGGCCGGGCGGGATGCCGAAAGCGAGAGCCCGCGGAGGTGCGGCAGAGCGGGAGGCGAGTTTCTCGCTGCTGCACGTCTCCGTCGCCTTGGCCTCTCTTAGGCTTCCCTGCCTGGGAGCGTGTTCGCTTCTGAGACGGGATTGGACCCAGGAGACGCCGGGCCGCCCCTCCTTGTTATTTCTCAAGTTTTATCACCGCGGGATCCGCTGGGGAGCTGCCCGAGCCTGCCTCTCCGCTTCCCCGCCACTGCGCCGGGCGCTCGCTCGCAGGAGAGCGGTCCCACGAGCAGGTCCCTGCCGGCTCTCCCACGCCCTGGTCTGCCCCGCGGCGCTGCCGCCCCGCCTTCCCTCCGCGCGGTCCTGGGCGCCCAGATCATCTCGGGCGTCCCCCACTGCCGACGCTGCACCGCTCATTCCCACTGCAGAGCCCAAATCCGCCTGCAGGGATCTCTGCCCCCACATGGGCGCTCCTGGGTGCCAGGAACACTCTTATGATTTTATCAGCGGATCCTCCCTTAGACTCTTGACGAAGTTCTGGGCAGTGTCTCCTGGTTATACAAAATATATGTATTCTTTCCAAATTTTACTAACACGATAAAATAAAGAACAGAGGGAAAATCGTCGCATGTGGCATGAAGAAACTGACATTTGGAATACCAGAAACAAACCAATTTAAAGAAATTCTGCTAGAAATGTTTACGCACCCAAAACATTAATGAATTACACTCAGAGCTTTCTTTACTGCCAATTTAGTGGCCTTCTATGAGCCTTCTAAGAAAGGACTTGTTGTTCTTATATGTAAATTATCAATTTAGTAATTAATTACATGGCAAGTGTATTAAGATATGAGTTTTCAATTTGTGACAAAAGGAGAATCTACCACAAAAACTTCTACTCTTAAAGGAGACTTACATAGTCAATATCATTTGCCAAAAAAAAAAAAAAAAGAAGAAGAAGTTTTACCCTGTAATAAAGAATAAAAATCATTTATTTGAGCAAAATGATTGCAACCTGAGAGAAGCAGATTCAGGCAGCAACCCAAACTGAGCTCTGGAAAGAACAAAGAAAGACAAGGTTTATAAAGGCAAAAGTCAGAAAGTGTATTTTTTTTTTCAAGCAAATGAAAGATTGCTGACTTGGTTAACAGGGGTTGATTAATTTCACTAGGCAAATGAGGGGCAAAAACGACAAAGAGGAGGTAAAATTCATATGTATCCATGTGTTACAGGATGTTTCTGGTTCAGCCTTGAGTAGAGTTTAGCAACAGAGTTAGCAGCTCTGAGAACTGAGGCAAAAAGTGTGCATAGGCCCCACTTCCTAAGAAGCCTCCTGACTCTATTTTAAGTGACTGTCTTTACAATGCTTATTCCATTTAATTATTTTTCCATTATCACATTCAACAAACTTGCATCAAGGCACAGAGTCTGCCAAGCATTGTGTGAGTGGCTGGAGGAAAGGAAATGTGCAAAACCCAGTTCTTGCCCAAAGCAACGCCAAGTCTAAGAGGGAATAAAGGCAATCATCATAGCCCAGTGTGCTAAACTTTTTAATAGAGAAGTAACTTGCAACACTAGGGGCACAGTCCTTTATCTCTCTCTACGTATGTGTTTCTGCTCCTCAAAGTCCGTGTGTAAATTCCAAGGCCAGGACACTCAGGTAGCCCGGATTAATTAGGGAAGGTGTTATGGTTTTCATTCATCCCACCTTAATCACCTCAATAGGCTCATACTTTAAAATCTTGGGCTTCCCTGAAACTCACAGGCCTCAGCTATCAGGACTTAGACACAAAGTTCAGCTTTTCTGTCTCATCTCTGAAGCACTCGAGGCACCCACCAGAGATCCTATCTCATCTCTAGAGGCCTCTCTACAGAGGAGCTCTTCTTTTCTCAGAGAAAGTACTACAAATTTCTCTCCACTCCAACTGTTTTCGCCTCTCATCTTCTAAACTTTCACTTCACCTTCACCCATGACCTCAGGGAAAGTTTCTCAAAGTCTCCTTTGACCCCAGCCAGCCTTTAGAAACACAAGCGTATCATAGCTTTCCTGCAAGATAGGTGATGCTATAGCCTAAATTGTGTCCCCTCAAATTCATAAGTTGAAGCCCAAAACCCCAGTATGACTGTTTTTGGAGATGGGACCTATAAAGTAATAAAAGTTAAATGAGGTTCTAATGTTGGGGTCCTGATCTGATGGTGTTAGTGCCCTTATGAAAAAAGACACCAGAAAGCAAAGCCCCTTTCCTCTTCCCTTCACCCCCACTCCAATGACATGTGTGGACACAGAGAGAAGGTGGCTGTCTACAAGCCAGGAAGAGCGCTTTCATCAAAAACCAAATCAACCAGCACTTTGATTTTAGACCCTCGGCCTTCTGAACTATGAGAAATAGTGCTTCAGATAAGAACCAAAAGAGAAAAAGGGAAGGCTGGATGGAGTGTGCTCCAGGTAACAGCAATAGCAACATCACTAGCAAAGCTCTGAAGGGTAGTATTATGAGGACTTCCCATGTCAAGGAAACAGAAAGAAGTTCCTTCAGAACCACTGAACAGAAGAATTTCTGTGTCTGGGAATTAGGTTAGAAAGATAATAGGCTTGGGACAAATCAGGCTGAGAAGTGAAATTTCTTCCTGGAAGAGATGAAAAGCCAACCACTCAATCTGTGAATCTGATTACTAACTACAAATACAGAATTATCACTTTTGCTGAGTTAATGAATTCATAAATGTCATTAATGGACCTGTTTATGAAATGTTTGTCTGCATTCTAAGTAGTCCTACTTTTCAGTGATTTCAACTTTTTCAACTAGAGTGAGCTGACCTGATTATTACTGTCCTCTAAGTGACTAAAACTTTAAGATAGCTATCATCTGGTTATTTCAGCTGTACTGTGTAATTGAAGAGATTGTTAAGCCTACTGACAATTTTAAATGATTTTGTTAAAAATAAATTTAAAATATGAGCTTCAGTTTGAATACATTTAGAACTGGACGCCTTCTATAATAAAATTAACTTAAATCATAAGACATCAAAGTTATTCTGAAATGCCTTTATTTTAATAACTTATCCCTCAAACTAAAAAGTCCATTGAAAATCATTACTAAAAAGATAAATTATGGAAAAGAAACTCATTTTCCTTGTTATTTTCTTAGTTTGAAGGTTAAGAGCAGCAATAATAAAGGATCAAAAATGGTAAGTGATTTTAAGCGAAAATACAATACTTTAGGAATCCAGGTGAATTGTAAAATTTTCAGTAGAATGCACATTTAAGATTATTAAGAAGAGTTCTCTGTACCTGAGAGGAATCTCTGGTTTCAGAAAGAATAATGACCTTAGGAGGTAGAAGCTGACTCCTGGCCCTCTTGAGTCAAGCTGCCTTGCACAACTCACTGCCAACAGGTGCTAGTCTCACCCACCTACTCACCTGAGTGGGAGTGTGGATCTCCTCAAACACACCTAAAAAATACAACCAGAGCAGCTATACGTTTGGAACGAATTTGGTAGTAATGAAAAGGAAATTTATAAAAAATAAAAAGCTTAAATTAAAACCGAGTAAAAGTCTTTCGAAAAGTCCTTCTTTTGATACAAAATGAGTTCTGTCATGAGACATTAGCTCAGAATCACTCTTAGACTATTAATAGTCACAGTAATAAATAGTAATTAAAAAAAAAAAAATACTTGTAGCAACAGTGAGGATCACTACACAAATGTGAAATCAAATGCCAGGAGCCCTCACAGACTATTCTTAGAAATCAATTGCCCTTAATGTAGCCACTTGCTCTTTTAAAGGGCTCTTCCCTCATGCTTGGGAACCCAGTGGTCAGATTCTCTCCCCCTCGCTGATGTTTTCCTCCTCGGGCGACCATCTCTGCTACTGCCACTCTGGCCTCCAAGAGAGGATGTTGCTCTCTCTGTATTACTTTTCCTAAAGTGTGACTAGAGGCCCTCCACTGATTTCCCAGGGCAACACTGAGAATGGCCGTGACATTTCGGTCATTTAAAAAGACCACTGGAGACTTGGAGATAACAGTAAGTTGAAGAGTAACCGATAATATTACCTTGCTGCCCAGAACAAAAGCCATTCCAGAACCCCTGTCTTGTTCCTCTCCTGTCTTTCCATGGCAAGCACCCCTCCCAGGTCTACTTTCACCCCCAAGGAAGTGATCCAGACAGCACAGAGAACCTCAAGTCTAGACCAAAATGAGCCCTGACCTCCCAAGGGAGAGAAGTTTTCCCTTCGGTTTTTTTCTGTGCTGGATCCTCAGGTTTCACAATTAATATCTGCCCAGGAGAAAGCTCGCTCACATCCAGAGGTGTGGCTTTTCACTATAACCTTGGCAACAATCATACCAAATTCAAACATTTGTACATTTCTCAAGTTCAGAATTATCTAGTTTAAGTAACACCATGACAACAGTCCAATCCCGAGAGGGTGTGCCAAGCTCAGAAAGGTTCCTCTTAATTAATGATTCAAGAACTGTTACAATGGTTTTACTCTTCCTCCACTAAAATCTTCAGACACCCTTACAGATATCCTCTCTCCTGCCAACAGACCTTATAAGGAGAGAGGTGTGGTCTCCTAGGTCTCCCCAGGCTAGAAAGAATAGTGATTTCCACACAGAAAACAAAAGGTTATTGTGTGAGTGATGACTTCTTACAGTAACCGGAGAAAAGCAGTGTAACGAAGCCCTGACACAGGATGAATTTTCAGTCCTTCTCATCTTGGAATCATCCCATAATTCCTCACTTCTATTTCCTTCAGCGTGAAAATCTCCTCCTACCGGGTGAGGCTTTAGTTTGTCCTGGATGTTCTCATGTCCCCAGGAGCTCATTGTGTGCATCTGCCTGTTCAAAGGGCATTACTTAAGCATGAAGGCTACGGGTGTGAGTGGGCTGACTTCCAGATCCCATGTGTCATTTAAACCCACATCATTCTCTGATTCACTGCCTCATCAGGCTTCTTTTTCCCAGAAGCTTAGGAGGACCGTCCCTCAACATCAGCTTGGAGAAGCTGGCATATTCCCCAGCTCAAATGCCTACCAACTAGCTCAGGAGCAGAGAAACAGCTTTTCCCACCAGTTTCGTATTGGCGGTGAATTATTTAATTTAGCAATTATTTATTTTTATTAATTATTTTATCGACTATTAATTATTCATTAATTTTATTTATTCAAGACATTAATTTTGATTTATCTTTTCTTTTCAGCCTGCCTAGTTTCCCTATGTCAC